AGTCTGAGGCTTGCCCGGCTGTGTAGTGAGAACCTAGTGTTTCTTTTCATTGCTGGTATAGGCCTAGGCTGATCTTGAACTTGATATATAGCTAAGGCAGCCCTAACTGCCTGACTTTAATACCTTTACTTCTCTAAGTGTTGAAATTACAGGAGTGTGCCACTATGTGTGCCAAGACCTGGGGTTTGTTTTGTTTGTTTGTTTGTTTGACGAAACATCACCATGTAGCCTTTGCGTGGCCTAGAATTCATTATATAGACCAAGCTGGCATCAAATTCACAGAGATCTGCCTGCTTCTGCCTCCTGAGTGCTGGGAATAAAGGAATGCATCACCATGACCTGTTTTGCTGAATTTCTTTTCAAAGGGCTATATAACTTTTGAAGGAGATAAAATAAACTGTTGTATTTATCTTTGAAGTTGGGAGATTAAAGAAAGAAGAGGCTATTAATTGTATTCCCTTTTGGAAACTTAAAAATCTGAATCAAGGGACCGGAGAGGTGGCCCAGAGGTTTGAGCTCATGCTGCTATTCCAGAGGACCCAGGTTCAGTTTCAGCACCCACATCGGGCAGGCAACTCACAACTGTCTGTAATGTTAGCTCCCAAGACTCCAATGTCTCTGGTTCCTGAGACCGTTTGCACTCTCGCACACATAGTCACATGCACACACATACATGCGATTACAAATAATAAAAATGAATCTTTAAAACAGAATCAATATCCATTATTTTTATAATTTCAGTAAGCTTATCAAAACAGAGACATGAATTAATAAGCTTGATTTGGTAAGTTTACCAGTTCAAGAGACAATGAGTCAGCACAGCAAGAGGTGCTGTGGATACAGGAGAGGGAGGCAGAGCGCCCCTCATGCTTAGGGAACCTATGGGCATGAGACTCTCATGGGCAGAGAGTCACAAGCCATCAGACGTGAGCATAACTTTAGCTGAGGTCGAAGCCTGGGAGGACAGGGAGAATGTTGTGGGTAGAGGCTTGCTTTATGCACTGGGTCGTCTCTTCTCACGCCTCTGGGGAGGTGATGCTTACACCAAGAACAGAGTATGAAAGAGATATAGTTAGTGAGAGAGAGAGAGAGAGAGAGAGAGAGAGAGAGAGAGAGAGAGAGAGAGAGAGAGAGAGAGAGAGATGGGCACCTCCGGCTTAGGAACAGCGATCACAAAGACCCAGAGCCAAGAGACAGCTTGACTCGCGGCTAGGAGAGCAGGTCACCTTGGTGAGAGAAGTGCAGAACCAGAGGGAGGGTGGCAGGTAGGGGTGCAGGGGCTACCACCTGTTCCCAGGGCAATGCGAGGGCACCACCACTGGGTTCCAAGCAGGGAGTGCCATGATCCTGTCTATGCGCAAACGAGATCATCTGGCTGTGGAGGGAGGATGGGCGACACAGGGGGAGAGGAGAAGGGAGAGACAGGCTAATGAAGCCTTTGTTAGCTTCCTGCTGAATGGCATCAGTGATGGTTTGGCTGGGGATGAGGTTAGAAAATGGCTGGTAATTACTGCAAGAGGTGAGAAGAATGTGCTTTTACATAAGCCCTCCATACACACAGAACAAATGACACTTGTTGTCTAGGCTGGGGTGGGAGGACAGTTATGGGCAATTGTTTTCTAACTTTAAGGAGTCTCAAGTAGGGTGGGGTCTTATTCAATAAAAAATAATCCTGAGATGGATCCCTTCTCTCCCCCTTGTCTCTCTTTCTGGCAGTTTCATATATCCCATGCTAGTCTCAAATTTGACACACAGCTGAGGATACCCTTCCATATTCATCGCCCCAGTATAGGGCTTTCAGGGATGTGCCACCAAGCTCAGTTTCATGCTGTTCCGGGAATTGAACCCAGGGCTTCATGCACAGGAAGCGTTCTACTGTATCCCCAGTCAGATTCCTAACAGGTTCCTGGGTGTTGCCGCAGCTGCTGGCCTGTGAAACACATTTGACATCGCAACATGTGATGAAGTTCCAGGTCCAGAGCTTCTGGAAGTATCAAATTCTTTGGTAAAAAATATAATTTGGGGCTGGCAGTATAAGGTTAGCAGAATGTTTGCCTGGCATGGGCAAAGCCCTGGGTTCATTCCTCAGCCCAGAATAAACCGTGGCAGCTCAGACCCACAATCTTAGCATTCTCAAGTCAGAAGCAGGAGGATCAGAAACTCAAGGTTATCCTTGGCTACATAAGAAGTTTAAAGTTAGCCTGGGTTACATGAGACCCTATCTCAAGAGAAAAAAAAAAAAAAGAAGAAGTTGATCTTATGCTGGACAATAGTTATATAGATATTCTCCAGTTTTAACACATTAAAATTGTATATATTTAAGGCCAGCCTAGAACTCGCCAGAGCGAGTTCCAAGACAGCCAGGACTACACAGAGAAACCCTGTCTCGAAAAACAAAACAAAAATTGAATATATTTATAGTATACATGTGATACTTTGACACATATATACTAGGAATCATTGCTGATAACTATTGCTAACCAGTCCAGCTAGCTAATACATCCACCACTTCACACAAGTTGCTGTCTGAAGGAACATCCAAGCCCTGCCTCTCTTTTTCTTCTTTTATCCAATGGTTTCACACAGGCCAGCCTGGCCACATTCATTATCCTCCTGCCTGGGGTTCAAAACTCAAGTAAATGCTGGGTGGGCGTGATGGTATTCTAGCCCGGGAAGACAGACACAGGGATCCCCAGAGCAGGCTGGCTAGGAGGGGTACTCAGATCAACAAGCTGAGTTTGATTAAGAAACTACTGCCTCCGGATCTCTGTGAGTTTGAGGCCAGCCTGGTCTACGAAGTGAGTTCCAGGACAGCCAGAGCTGTTACACAGAGAGACCCTGTCTCCCCCAAAAAAACCAACCAACCAACCAAACAAACAAACAAAAACCCTGTCTCAATGAATAAGATGGAAAAATAATCCAGGAGGATTCCTGACATCGACCTTGGGCCTCCATATTCACAAGTACACACACACACACACACACACACACACACCCCAGACATATACACAGAGAAGGAAAAAGACTGAATAATACTTCATTGCTGATGTAGCAGTGTCATATCAATCTGTTGATTTCATTGGTTAAGTAATAAACACACTGCTTGGCCTCATAGGTTAAAGCATTGGTGGGAGGAGTAAACAGAATAGAATTCTGGGCGGAAGAGGAAGTGAGGTCAGACTCTGCTCTGCTCCCGGAGAGACTCAACAGCTCTGCTCTCTGGAGCAGAGACACCATGCTCTGCTCTCCCAGGCAGCTCCAACCCACGATGGACTTAGGCTAGAATCTTCCCGGTAAGCGCATCTTGGGGTGCTTACACACATTACTAGAAATGGGCTAGTCCAGGTGCGAGAGTTAGCCTAGAAGAGGCTAGATAGAAATGGGTCAAGCAGTTAAATGAATACAGTTTGTGTGTTGTTATTTCGGGCATAAGCTAGCCAAGCGGCCGGGGTGTTGGGGACGCAGCCCCGCCGCCACTCCTATTTCAACACATTGCAAATACATATTGCATTTTCTTATGCATTCATCTGGAAACAATTAGGTTGTATCCATAGCAGTTATTTTGGATACTGCTACAATGAACACGGGAGTTTATCTATTTCTTTTGATACTGATTTTGTGTCATTTGGATACTACACATGCCCAGAAGTGGGACTGTTCAACTACATAGTAGTTTCATGGGTGTTTTAATTACTTTTCTGTTGGTATGGCAATACACCATGAACAAGACAACTTATAAAAGAAAGCATTTCATTTGGCTTAGGGTATCAGAGGATCAGAGCTCATGATGGCGGCAAAATAAACGGCCAGCTGGAAGTTCACATCCTGATCTGTAACCACAAGGCAGAGAGACGGGGCTAACTAGGAATGGCTTGGGCTTTTGAAACCTTGAAACTCTCCCCCAGTGACACACCTCCTCCAACAAGGCCACACCTCCTCATCCTTCCCAAACAGCTCCATCAACCGGGGGTCAAATATTCAAATATGTGAGCCTATAGATAACATTCTCATTTAAGTCACCAGAGTGATTTTTTTTCCCTTTGTGAATTTTCAAAATGGTTCCCATACTGGTCACGGCAATGTACATTCGCAGCAAGGCTGTGCAGGCATTTCCTTTCTCCACAGCCTTGCTCAGCACTGCTTTAACCAGGCTGTTTGCTTGTTTGCTTTTGGGCTTTTGAGATATGCCTTTACTCTGTAGCTCTTGCTGACCTGAAACTTCCAATCCTCCTGCCTCAGTGCTAAGATCACAGATGTTATCACCTCACCTGGTTCAGAAGAAATAATTCTTTTAAAATTTTTATTTATATTATTGTGTATGTGATGTGTGTAGGGGAGGTGTGTGTGTGTGTGTGTGTGTGTGTGTGTGTGTGTGTGTGTGTGTGTGCATGAGAACCACAGTGCACGTGTGGAAGTCAGTTTTCTCCTAATACCTTTATGTGGGTTCCAGGGCTCCCGCTCGGCAGTCACACTATCTGCTAGTCATCTTACCGACTCTGAGGAAGAATGCTCTGAAGTTTGGGAGTTTCAATTATTTTTGTGTATAGTGGTGTTTTGCCTGCATGTGTATCTATGCACTACCTGTGAGCCTGGTGTCAGTGGAGGGCAGAAGACGACATTGGGGCCCCTGGAACTGGAGTTATAGATGACTGTAAGCCACCGTGTGGGTGCTGGGACTAAAACGTGGGTCCTCAAGAAGAGTGACCAGCACTTTTAACTGCGGAGCCATCTCTCCAGTCCAGAGGAATAGCTTAGGTGAACACCAAGCACCTATGTACGTGAAGAGCTGTGTTAAGTGCTGAGGAGAGGGGCAAGGTAGGCGGGAGAGACGTTGTTATAAACAGTGCACTGTGCCCCAGGGCACAGCGCTAGGTGCATAGCCAGAGTCCCTCTGGGGCATCAAGAAGGGAAGCTGGGGAGAGCAGGGCAGGGCAAGCGTAGACTTAGCCTTCATAGGGCTCATATCCCAGCACAAGTCAGAACCAGTGACAATGATTTACCTTTAGTGTGTGTCTTCTGGCGTCAGGCATGACTTGACACAGAACTCCAGGGTCCAGACTCTGGGACTGAGTTACTTGGGTTCGATTCCAATGCTGCTGATCGCCAGCTGTGCACAGGAAGGTCTTTCCATCTCTGGGCTTCAATTTTCTTTGAAAAAACAAAACAAAAGACATTATCTGATTAGGGTGGTGTGAAGATTCCTTTATACATTGTTACCGAATGTTGGCACATACCCCATGACCAACACATACATCAATACTGCACGCCAGGCATCTAGTATGAAGACTGGTGAGCAGACACATCACTATTTAATCCTTCCGAGGGTTCTGTGTGCCTGGGAACATAAATGCTTGTTCTGTAGGAAAAGGCACAGAGTCTTGGAAATATCTTAGCTCTGAGAAGGAACCCTCCACTCTGCTCCCACCTGTCCTCGAGCTCTCTGTGCTGAGGGAGAAGCCCCAGGGGAGAAGAAAGGTTCTGGATCTCGAGTCCTGTATCCCATTTCCCACAGCACTCCTCAAGCTAATGCCTGGATGCCCCATGTCCACCCCAGATATTGCAAACAGAGCCATGCTTGCGTCTCCGGGCTTTCAACAGTCACCCCCGCAGGAGCTGGCAGCCATCCGGGTCTGGCTTAAGTGTCTTTGGTCCCCAGGCTGCAGCATGTCCAGCTGTTTACTCACTCGGCACCTCGAAGGCAGATGAGCCACAGATCTGCAACTCAGCCTGCAGGGACCACATTACAACCAACCCACCCCCACTGCCTTGTGTGCAGCAGCCTCCGTGAGATGAGAGCGCTGGCCTCCCCATCTATCTTGATCCTGCTGCTGGGATGCTAATTGCTTTCTCCCACCGAGGAGAAAGAACGCTGGTGGGTGGCAAGGCATGACTGGCGGGGGTGTGCAGCTGACTGTGGGAGTGGGGTTAGTGACAGGACACCCCAGGAATTCTCTCCTCCTCCTGCTCTGTCTCCATCCCTTCCCACCCCCTACCCCCACCCCTGCTCCTTTAAGCACCTGCACTTGTCTTCCCCTTCGTCCCAGCTCTTGGTATAGGTTTTACAGACTGTGGGATTCCAGGTCAGTATTTCTCTTGACCTTACGTGGGGCAGGAAGCACTATGGTGGACCGGAAGTAACCAGAAACAGGCTAATAAGGCACTGGGCAGACAGTACTGGGAACCAAGGGACCCTGCAAAAGACTGAGGGGAGAAAGGGATGGGTGCTTCACTTTACTCTGGGTAAAAGAGAGTTCAAGTTCACCGTTATGGATATTGCCACTAATTTATGTGTTGTTTATGCACAGGGGTGGTGGTGGTGGGACAAGTGGGGACATTTTCACGCATTGTATATGTTTACACTTGTTTCATTACACAAAATGCTTGAGACAGCATACAAAATTACATGCGATTTCAAGGAATGAAATAGATCTCTTTGGAAACTAAAGAGAAATTCAGAGGGAGGAAATAATGGAAGCCCATAAACGTGCAGTAAGCTGTGCTACACGGTTGTTAATGTGAGCCATAAACTTGGCTTTGAAAGCCCCAGCATTCCAAAGCAAAGAGCGAACGATCTCACACGGGAAATGCAGGATCCATCAAGGAAAAAACTGGAACTTCGCAAGAGAAGGGACACCCTGCATCCGCACTGAGATCTGAGAGGAATTTTTACGTAGGCCCATCCAAAGATAAGCAACCATTGCTCGTTAGATTTCTTGGGCTGAGTCATGTTGCCAAAACGTCACTCAAGATCCTAATAGTCGTTATTTATAATACCAGAAATTGGAAAGAGTCTCAAGGTCCCTCGAAGACGTGATTGTACAAATGTCTGCTGGAGAAGCATGCGGTTATTCAGAGGAAAGAACAGTTTAGCTCACTGACACGAAACAATTCCTGAGATGGGCTCTGGAAATGGAAGAGGGAAGAGGCCAAAGAGCGTCTCTAAGAGGGCAGTGTTAGTGAAAAAAAAAATTGTATGTGCTTCTAAATGCTGTGGCGGTCCTTAGTCCTTCCTGGGAAGAATTTTAAGAAATCCGACTGGATGCAAGCTGTTTTCTGGGGAACATACTTTTCTTTTTTCTCTTTTTGAGACAGGTTTCTCTGTAGCTTTGGTGCCTGCCCTGGAACTAAATCTTGTAGACCAGGCTGGCCTCGAACTCATGTGCCACCATTGCCCGGCAGGAACATACTTTTCATAAGACAGCTGTTTGAACCTTCTGACCTTTGTAGCCTGGGAGTTATGTCATATATTTAAAACAAATCATTAAGAAGTACAAACGTGAGGGCCAGTGAGATGGTTTAGTGGGTAAAGGCACTTGCCACCAAGCCAGATGACCTGAGCTCAATCCCCAGGCCCATGTGGTAGAAAGAATCAACATCCTCAAGCTATCCTCTGATTGCCATACCTGTGCAATGGCACCCACCCTGACTAAATAAATTACTGTAATTTACTTTTTTAAATATGAAACAATATTTTAATATGAAAGCAACATTATCTGACTTATAAGGCTTTAACTAGACATTGCCTCCAAACATAAAGTCATGTAGATTACTGCAGAGAATAGGAGACCCCATCATCCACAGGGTCCCTATGCCATCCATCTCTTAGACTGGTCTCTGTTGGACAGATTACATCACTGATCAATAAACATCACTTTTGCTGGCAGCACTGGTGCATGCCTTTAATCCCAGCACTCAGGAGGCAGAGGCGGGTGGATCTCTGAGAGTTCGAGGCCAGTCTGGTCTACAGAGCTAGTTCCAGGACAGGCTCCAAAGCTACAGAGAAACCTTGTTTTGAAAAAAAAAATGAGAGACATCACTTTCTTCCTCAAATGACACACACACACACACACTGTTAGAACTAAGAAATTCAGCTGAGTTGCAGGACACAAAATCAACGCAAAATTTGGTTTTGGGGTTGGAGGGATGGCTCAGTGGTTAAGAGCACTTATTGCTCTTGCAGAGGACCTGCGCTTGGTTCTCAGCACCCATCTGGTGGTTCAGAACCATGGTGTGCTGGTTTGAATAAGAATGACATACAGAGACTCATATATTTGAATGCTTAGTCACCAAGGAGTGGCAGTATTAGAAAGGATTAGAAGGATTAATAGATGTGATTTTGTTGGAGGAAGTGTGTCACTGGGGTTGAGGTTTCAAATGCCCATGCTGATGTGGAATTCCCTTCTGTTATGCTATGAATGTGTCTTATTATCATTGGTTAATGAAGAAATTGATTTGGCCAATAGTCAGGCAGAATATAGCTAGGTGGGAAATCCAAACAGATACAGGGAGAAAGAAGGTAGAGTCTGAGAGATGCCAGCAGTCACCAGAGAAGCCACAAACCTCATGGTAAAATATAGAATAATAGAAATAGGTTAATTTAAGTTGTAAGAGCTAGCTAACAGGGCTGGAGAGATGGCTCAGAGGTTAAGAGCATTGCCTGCTCTACCAAAGGTCCTGAGTTCAATTCCCAGCAACCACATGGTGGCTCACAACCATCTGTAATGGGGTCTGGTGCCCTCTTCTGGCCTGCAGGCATAGACACAGACAGAATATTGCATACATAATAAATAAATAAATATTAAAAAAAATAAAAAACATGCTTGCTGGGATGGAGAGATGGCTCAGTGGTTAAGAGCATTGCCTG